TTTACCAGATAATAATCTGTTTCGTAAAGATGGACAATGATATATACAGTAATAAATAAATTTTTGGCACTTATTATTTCTTCGAGCCCAGATTACATTGGACCATCTCATTCGTGTTCAAGTCTAGAAGATAACATTCAAAAATGGACGTTGCTACATGTACTTTTGTCATTAATAAATTCAAACAATGTAAATATTTGTTTGTTTGATTGGTCGTCCATGATCTTAGAAGTTTTTCTAAGAATGCCTTTTTCAAACTAAATAAAACTGTCAATCTAATATTCATGTAATCAACTAAAGATATCTGATGGAATTTCTAGAACAAATAGATGCATGTCTCTCATTTTCTTTTTCTTGTTATCAAGAATACACTAGCTGTAAATCATCCAAGAAGCTTTCAAACCTAGAAGTTAGCCAAAGAAGCCTGTTCCCAAAAATTAGTATGATTATTGAAGGTATTTATTCTTTGATTCCTTTGTTGACCACAATCCTCTTTTTATTTGATACTTATGAGTCTGTTCTTCCAGATATGACCCCATGTTCTTAATATTGCTATAAAATGCCATTAACCGTTCATGTAAAATAAAACTGATCATATCTTCACAAAATTAAACTTTGTTGGAATAAAAAATGTGAAATAACCATTCAAGTAATGAAAAGATTATTTCGGAATTAATAAACACATTGCTGAATGAATTTGTAAATTATCTCATTTTCACATTTCTATATATCAAGAACACACAGTTTCAAGTTTAATAGTTTACCAGATAATTATCTGTAATCTACAGATGAATATATACAGTCATAAATATAATTTTTCGCACTTTATATTTTTTCGTGCCAAGATTACATTGGAATATCTCATACGTGTTTAAGTCTAGAAGATAACATTAAAAAATGATAGTTACTTTATGTGCTGTTGTCATTAATATTTTCAAACAATGTAAATATTTGTTTGTTTAATCGGTCGTCCATGATCTTAATGTATATCATTAAATACGTATTAATTGGTTCTACGATATGAAGCAGTTTTTCAAAGACTGGCTATTTCAAATTAAAAAGAAACTGTTAATCTAATATTCATGTAATCAACTAAAGATTCCTCATTGAAAATTCTTGTACAAGTTGATGTATAATCTCATTTTATTTTTCTTGTTATCAAGAGCATATTAGCTGTAAATTATCAAAGACGTTTTCAAGCCTAGAAGTCAACCAAAGAAGCCTTTTCCCTAAAATGATTGTGATTACTGAAGGTAAATATTCTTTGATCCCTTTGTTGACTACAATCCTCTTTTTATTTGATACTTATGAGTCTGTTCTTATATATATGACCTCATGTTCTTAATATTGCTATAGAATGCCATTAACCGTTCATGTAAAATAAAACTGATCATATCTTCACAATATAAAACTTTGTTACAGCAAAAAGAATGTGAAATAACCATTCAAGTAATGAAATGATCATATCAGAATACATTAACACGTTGTTGAATGAATTTGTAAACTTTTTTTTCATTTTCCCCATTCTATAGAGAACACATTGTTTCAAGTCTAACAGTTTATCAGATAATTATCTGCTTCCTAAAGATGGTCCATTTTATTTTATTTCATTGGTTAACCATGATCATTTTGTCATTGTCGAATATGTACCAAACATTTCTTAAAATCTCTTTAAAAAATTAAAAAAAGTGAAATGACAATTCATGTAATAAACATATAATTTACTCATACATTCAAACTCGATAATATTGAGTTTTAAAGTCTAAAAATTGCCCCCCTCCATTTTTTGCAAAATACTGTTAAAGAGGATAAATTGTCATAAATTTTCATGCTATAAACTAAATGTATCTTTCCAAAATTTATTTTTGTAAAATGAATGTGTACATATTTCATTTTTCAAATCTAAAGTTGATTTGAGAAACTTCGGAGTATATGAACTGAATTCCATAAATTGTTGCATGAAACGTACAAGCTACGCAGTACATTTAAACTTCATTGAATCAACTTCCTCTTAGAATAAGCTTTCTGCCATAGATGTACATACGTCTCATTTCTTGATATTCCATGCACAAACAGCATTGATCTTTAGTGTATATGATCAGTATAGTCAATCAATTCTTCGAAGAACCATACGTGTTATAATCCAAAAAGTTATTATATAGCCATATGACCTATTTAGATGCATAATCTTTTTGAGTGTGTCCTCATGGAGAACTGCTTTCTTGAAAATGTTTCATCAAAATAAAGATTTCTTACAATGTTTTCTAAATCTAACTTTTTGAGAGGGTAAATACTCTTATAGAATATTGTTGTTTATGAACCTCGGTGTTATTTGAATCTCACTGGATCGGTTTTAGAATATGTATTTGCAGTACCAAATGTTAGCATGTGAAATGACAATTAATGTAATAAATTGATAATATTCTAATGCATTTAAACATTTTTGAATGAATGTGTAAATCATCTTATTTTTCCCTTTTCATCAAGAACACACAGTTTTAAGTCTAACAGTTAACCAAAGAAGATTCCTTGAAAATTTCTTTTTTCAAAAGTTGGTCCATGAAGGTAAGAATTCTTTCAATTCACCAGCACTGGGTGAAAAGTCCAGTTTCCGCAAAACTGAAACTATACTGAAACTTTGCTGAAACTTGGCGTTGAAGTTTCCCGTGTGGTTTCCGCCAGTGCAGTGTTTTATATGTGGACTTTTTTCCTTTTTTATTAAACACATGCACATGTATCTCCATAAAATTATACATTGTGTATACACACATATGATCTCGTTTTTTTCTCCTTTTTTGTCGAAAATACTTTAGATTATCTAGTGAGTTTTCAACTCTTAAATTTGCCTCCTTTTGGTTTGTTCCCATTTGACACACATTTGATTTTAAGCTTTAAGGCACAGGAAAAATGTGTGCAAAAGGGGAATTTGACCAGGTGAGATAATATCTTAATTGCTATAGCTTTATAGCAAATAGTTTTTTCTATAGCTTTACAATAATAGGTAGATGGGGTGAGATGAACAAATATGAGATGAGAATTAGACAATAGAATTAGAAATTAGACCAACAAACTTTAATTAAGTGCATAACACGATTTCTTTTTATTTCTTTACTTTTATAACAAAATAGAAATTTATACTAAATAATTCATAATGAAAAGTAATTGGTTTCAATTTTTTGCAGTATCAGCTTTGAAAATTAATTTTGTTTTTCAAGAAATGGTAGTCATTTTTTTAACTGTTATAATTAATATTTAAAAAAATATTCAATAAATTCACTTAATTTTTCTTATGAATATTTATGTAAATTAAATTAATATCTATTCCTCCTGTTCATGATACATAAATAACACACAGGGAAATCCAGGTTAATCCTAACCAGAAATTGGACTATAATTGTTAACAAAACGTTTCACACCTTTTGTTCTATACTTAATTATCAAATGTGTGCAAAACGGGAACACACCATCCCTCTATCTTTAAAAGTGCTAAAAAAATCGATAATTTTTTTTTAAAATTCATTATTAATTAATATTATCTATTCAAAAAAGGATTGCAATATAAATGTGTACATTCCATTTTTTTTTTCAAATAAAGAATACTTTAATTGGAGTTCTGAGTATATGAACATAATTTCTTACGATTGTTGTATTTAGCGTTTACGCTATACATTCTTTCAGCCACAGATGTACATACCGTCTCATTTTTTTCTTTCTTTGTCAAGAATGCTTTGGACCATCTACTGGGCGTTTAATTGCAAGTCAGAAAGTTATCCAAATGGAAATGCGTTGTACCACCCTCCTGCAGCTGTTTGAGGATGGTAAATCTTACTTTGTTAAATTAAATTAATATTTATTACTCCTGTTCATGATATATAAATAACACACAGGGAAATCCAGGTTAATCCTAACCAGAAATTAGACTATAATTGTTAACAAAACGTTTCACACCTTTTGTTCTATACTGAATTATCAAATGTGTGCAAAACGGGAACACACCCTCCCTCTATCTTTAAAAGTGCTAAAAAATCGATAATTTTTTTCAATTCAACCTTATTGATTAATATTATCTATTCAAAAAAGGATTGCAATATAAATGTGTACATTCCATTTTTTTTCCAAATAAAGAATACATTAATTGGAGTTCTGAGTATATGAACATAATTTCTTACGATTGTTGTATTTAGCGTTTACGCTATACATTCTTTCAGCCACAGTTGTACATACCGTCTCATTTTTTCTTTCTTTGTCAAGAATGCTTTGGACCATCAACTGGGCGTTTAATTGCAAATCAGAAAGTTATCCAAATGGAAATGCGTTGTACCACCCTCCTGCAGCTGTTTGAGGATGGTAAATCTTACTTTGTTAAATTAAATAATATTTATTACTCCTGTTCATGATACATAAATAACACACAGGGAAATCCAGGTTAATCCTAACCAGAAATTAGACTATAATTGCTAACAAAACGTTTCACACCTTTTGTTCTATACTTAATTATCAAATGTGTGCAAAACGGGAACACACCCTTTTTCTATCTTTAAAAGTGCTAAAAAATCAATAATTTTTTTTAATTCAATCTTATTAATTAATTTTATCTATTTAAAAAAAAGATTGCAATATAACTGTGTACATTCCATTTTTTTCAAATAAAGAATACATTAATTAGAGTTCTGGGTATATGAACATAACTTCTTACAATTGTTGTATTTAGCGTTTACGCTATACATTCTTTCAGCCACAGATGTACATACCGTCTCATTTTTTTCTTTCTTTGTCAAGAATGCTTTGGACCATCTACTGGGCGTTTAATTGCAAGTCAAAAAGTTATCCAAATGGAAATGCGTTGTACCACCCTCCTGCAGCTGTTTGAGGATTGTAAATCTTATTGTATATTTTTGCATTTTTGTTTATCATAACAATATTAAAAGGAATTGAATTCTTAAAGTGTTTCGAGGAATGAAATAATACTTATTTCAATTTTTGTTTTACCTAGATTGCAGTGTAGGCTTTGACTACTACAATCTTCTTCAATTTCTTGAAGACAGATTGTTGAGTGCTTTCATGGCCTTCATCTTCAAGAAAGGTGAGTTTTGTCAATATTGATGCGATAAGTTTAATAGTAGTCTCGATAAAAAAAAAAGTTTAGCATGTGTATACGTTTTCAATAATAAGAAAGTTATATCCCATGATTCAACAATAGTGATAAATGATAAAGATTTATATGTTTGTTTATAAACTACATCAAGGGGGATTAAAAAAATAAAAATTATATGAATCCTTGTGTTAATCGGTAAAATTTTTATTTTTATATGGTTATGAAAAGAAATAAATTTTCAATTAAAAATCCATAATATTTCATTGATTTAAAAGTATTTTTTTAAAGGAGGGGTTAGGCATACGAAGAAAGGAAATACAATATTTTTCTTAAAAGCATTTATATACTGTAATAGAAACACAATTAGAAATTATGTTGATTTTAGTATTAATCAATTTTGATTATACTTATATACAAATAAATGCTATTTAAACTTCTCCTAAATAAAACCAAGGTCATAAGGAATCCAATAGTATTAAATCTTAAAGTTTATAAAGTTTAACTGTATGATTCTTTTTCACTGTAACATTTGTAGTGAAGAACCTGACTTTTATTTACCAAAAAAAAAATCTTTTAGGATAAGTGAGCGAAATCAATAATATTATGTAATGAAATATTTGAAAAAAAATTGAATTAAAAAACGCCCACAGTAAAATTTATAAAATTGGTATAAGCTCATAATACAGTATGTGTTATGGAGCTAGTAACCTGTGCGATTCTTGTTTTCAAAAAAAAGATGATTTATGAGATGATTCTCGTCTCTCATCTTCTCTGAAATTCGTGAAGTATTTAAATATCTTATTAAAATGTGAAATGATTGACTTAATCTTCACGTTTATGTTTTTAATTTAGCTTATGGTATCCTGAGAAAAGTATGGAAGAAAAAGGCCTAGGAGTCGTTTTCAATCAGACCATGGAATGTAAGTATATATCTCTTTATTAATTTAAATAAAATTTGACAATTTAATTGTAAAATAATAGCAAATTATTAGGTTTGATTACCTGCCTGGTTCTTTTTCATATAGCGTCGCTTTGTATTACAATTTCATTTATTTTTCTTTTACAGAGCTGCAGACATCATCACAAAACTGGACTTCCAGACTATGCTAGACAACAAAATTTCATGTTATTACTACAAAGAATATATGATGCAAAATTCACTTTTTTGTTTGTTATGTTTCGAACGTTATTTTACATACATCTATACAAATTTCACTATTGGACGCAGACATTGGTCATTTGGATGAGACTGTACAAACCGACACACACACAAAGGTTTTCTCTTCTCAGTTGCTGTTAGTGCAAAGTATAAAATATAAATTGCAGCTCTCCACTGGCAAGTGGATATGAGTGAAAAATTCTCGAAAGGGACGTTAAATAATGAACAAACAAAAAGCCTTTGCCATTTCATGATAATAAATCGGGTGTTCATTTTCTGTCATTTTAAGGGGACATGAACACATTTTTAAATGATTTTTTAAAACCAATTCAAATGTTTACAATTTCAAAGTAAAGTATCATCTAATAATCAGCAAATATTTAAACATCATTTGTTGATCAACAAACGAGAAACAAAACGTAAAGTTCTTCATAATATAAGCAAGGCGTTTGCCTTGTTTTCATTTACATATAGAAAATGTATTTTCAATAGAAATATCTCATAAGGAAAAACCAGGTTATTTAGTGCATTAATTGCTTGTGCATGATTTTAATCTAAAAAAGGCAGTAACTCTTACTAGTAAATCGATTGTATTTTCCCTGACGTGTACCCCTTTTTTTCTATGTCATGATCATGCACAAACCTGTCTTTTATTTGGTGAACATGCGCGTTCAAATCTCCCTTTTTCTTTATCAACCCTCTGAGCAGAACACACGAAATTTTTGTGTCAGACAAAATTCGTTAAATCGACATCCATCATTGGCATGGGTTGAGATAATCTGGAAAGATATAGCGAGCTCCCAGAAAATTAAAGTCCAATAGTCCATATGCCCGTCCTAGCGGTCATGCTGCTGCAGCCATCTCCACTGCGGTTAGGACCACGTACCGAACCCAGGTGGCCATTACACTGACTAGGCCTTACTGTACCACAGCCACATCAACCTTTCCGACGGCGACGCTACCTCAAGTATCTAACATAACCATCAGTATTCCCGCTAGCAGCATGATGGAACAAGCCATTCCATGTACGTATACAGACGCAGCCAGATCAGCAGAACATGGTAAAAAACGAACAGGGAACTGGAAACCAGTTCAAGAAGGGACAAAAACACTAGGTTACAGTTGGCAACTAATCTTCAGCTGCAGCTATGGGATTTGGGCAGATCACCTTTAAATGTATCACTTTAAGAAAAGTTGTAACAAAATTACCCAGACTGTGAGAATACCAAGTGTTTAGCTAATAGTTTTAAATTTGGTTTTAAATCAAATTAACATGGAGATAGAAAATGGATCTACTAACAATTTGTAAATGCGATTCAAATCAAGATAGACAGAGAAATAGAGCTTGGGAGCGTGTTAGGCCCTTTTTCTTACCCTCCCATTTCTTATTTACGTTGTAATTTTATTGGTATCCTTCCAAAGAAGCAGAGGGGTTGGCGCATGATGACCAATATATCTTATCCTTTAGTGGATAGTGCAAATGACTATACAGATTCAGAGTTGTATTCAGTCAATTATTCAACTTCTTATGATGCATTTAAAGTCATTTCTGCCAAAGTAGGGAGGGCATTAATGGCAAGAATGGATGTTTCAAATGCATTGAGGTGGTTTCTACCTCTATGTCATCAAGATTTTTGTTTATTAGGTTTCCAAATTGCAGACTTGTACTTCATCGACAAATGTTTACCCATGGGCTGTTCAATATCTTGCTCATTATTTGAAAAAAATTCAACTTTCCTTCACTGGGAAGTGCAGCATAGATCAACTATTGAGTGTATAGTTCTCTATTTAGATGATTTTATATTTGTTGGAGAGACATCCACAGATGTCAAATATCGATGTGTTGCTTTCAAGAACCCTGTCAAAGGCTGGGAGTTCCATTAGCTGTAGAGAAAACTGAGGGTCCAACTACTCGTATTTGTTTTTGGGGCTTAGACATTGACACTTTTACTCAAACGATTTTTATTCCAGAGGACAAAATAAAGGAATTTTAAGTATCAAAAAAGTTAAATATTTAAGTTGTAAAAAGGTAACGCTCAAGCAGTTGCAATCGCTTGTGGGAACATTGGCCTTTGAAGTACATGTTAACGCATTACCAGCAGGAAGGGCTTTAATTCGTAGGATTTCTGGGGCGATGGAGGGAGTTAAAGATCATTTAATCTTCTTAGAATGAAAATTAAATAAGAATGGATTTGCAGATTTGGGTTCAATTTCTGCTCAACTTTAATAGTACTACGCCATTTCCTTCGCTACATTGGCATGACGGTGAAATTTTAGAATATTTTACAGATAGTTAGGGCTGTGGGGTAGTTTTTGGAAATCATTGGTCTTGTTTATCTTGGCCTACATACTAGCCTTCAGACATAATCAGGGATATAACATTATTGGACATTGTTCCTATAGTATTGGGTATTAGTATTTCTTCATCAAAACCTAAAAACTTTAAACTGCTGCTTCATCTAGACAATATGGCATAAGTGCAGATTATCAATCAAAGAAGTCTAAAACAAAAGACTCGTGGTGCTGTTACGTTTCTTAGTCATGACAACTCTTCAATTTAATATTCAAATTAAAGCGCAACATATCGAGGGTGTGAAGAATAACGTGACTGATGCAATTTCTCGATTTCAGTGGTCCATGTTCAGGTAGCTTGCCCCTTTGGCAGATCAGTTTCCATCTACGGTACCAATACAATTTTGGGAAATTATGGAGAAACTATAAACAAACTTTTGAAAGCTAGCATATCAGAAAATATTGGTTAAGTTTATAAACAAGGTCTACAGAGTTTTTATAATTTTAGAGTTTACTGTAAATTTTAGCAAACCTGGTCTCCACCTTTTGACAATATTTTAAATTTCATAGCTTATTTGTCTGAGCAGGGGTGTCGCTTTTCTACAGGCAAATGCTACGTGTCGGGGATAAGTTTTCTAATTAATTTTAGTGGTTGGACAAATCCGTTTGAGTTTTTTTTTTTGGTGAGGAAATTGATCGCAGCACTACTGGACGAAAAAAATGCTGAGAATCCCAAATTTTACTGATAATGTTTGATAATTACTGATACGGTGCTGTTGTTGCTGATAAATACTGATATTTACTGTTATTATTACTGTTGTTGCTGATATTTTTTGTTGTTTCTGATAAATACTGATAGTTACTGTTGCCTTTTACTGTTGAGTCTGATAAATACTGATAAATACTGTTGAGGTACTGTCGATGCTGAGATTTACTGATAATTACTGTGGTCATTGTTTTTAACCTGGTAATTGGTTTAAAATAAAACAGAGGACTATAAAAACCTTCAATTATTACTTTCTTTTACTTGAATTATCATGACAAAATTTTCATATTTCTTTAAATGTTCTGCTTGTGACAAAATTACATAACTGTAATGCTGATCTCAATTTCTACATTACCTTTGTGAAAATTTTGACAATAATCAAATGCATTATTAATAGAATGAATATATAGAAATAGAATTAATAAAAAAAATTAACTGAAGAAAAAAATGGAATTTTACTTTTGCATAAGATCTTATTGAAAAATAAACTGTAAATAAAAAGAAAGTTATGCTATCTTAAAAAAGATCCATCGCCGCCTTTCCCGACTCCAAGAAAATTATGTAGGGAGATCGGTTATCTTTTTTTTCAATAATAAGAAAAAAGTTCTTAATGGATGGAAAAAAAATTGGGATAAAAAAAGTTTTCTGCAGGTTAGAAAAGTTGGATTTGTTCCGTTTTCACTAGGTCAACTGGTCGAGTTTGGACAACATTTTGTTTTTGAAGGCCTTTTTTTCTCGAAAACAATTATATTTGTCTTGTTAAATGTTCAGTTTTCTGGTCTCTTTTTGTCGAAATATTTGAAAATTTGCTCGAAAATTAGAAATTTTATCCCTTTTAAAAAGTAACTAAGAGGTGAAAACGGGTTTGAATATGTTCAATCTGTGGGCACTGATTTTAATTAATAATTTATTTATTTATTCATCTATTTTAATGTTATGTAGACGTTTGTAGATCGTCCAAGAATTAAACTCCTCCACATGTACATACATGTATGTACAAGTACACACTGTATGCATGTGCAACCGGCAAATGGGGCGAGCTGATTAAAAGTTAGAGGTTAGGAATCCCTAGTGCAAAGATACATGTGTTTAGTTTGTCTCTTAAAATTTAAATACAAAATCATTTTTTATTTAATCAGTTTTAAAATCTCATTATTTTTTTTTTATTTGATTTTATGGAATGGGAAATAAGAACTGAAATGAGATTTAATTTAATATGTTACTATTAGCATGATTAGTATATGATCAAATTGATCGATTTTAATTTTGCATGGTAAAGGAAAACACCTTTAAATTTATTTCAATTGATCAGAAATCGGTGATCGATCTGTGATTTGGCTGTATTGTGTACATGTCTTCAGCCCCGGGGTAGAACGGGGTACAACTTGTATATTCCATGCAAATTGTAGTGGTCAGCGTAACAATGGGCACTAATTACCTATTGTTCTTCGTCTGCGGCTACCGGTGTTATCAATAAACAAACTACCTACACTGTACATGTACTCGCTACTTTGGAACAATCTTAAAGTCTATGGTCGCACGAAAAAAAAAATCCGTAATATTGAATTTGATGACGAATAAAATTGATAGAAAAAATATTTAGAATAGAACACTTTGGTACTATAATAAAAAAAAAAAGAAGATATATACATGTACATCATGTACGTTGTACAGACTTATTTCAATTATTATTTCAATTCTCAAAGATCTATCTTTCTTCAGTATTTAATTTCATTTTTTAGTTTTACGCATATTTCTTCCATCAATCAATCATTTATTTGAATCTTTTTACCATTTTACATTAGTATACATAGACCACAAAAACATATAAAATGTAGGTGATTTTATACAAAACAGTAGGTCTAATAGGCATGCGTGAATAAGAAATTAAACAAAAAATTTTTGTAGGTTGCTATAAATGCGAAGTAAGGGAATTTAGGCCG